AAGCAAACTAAAATTACTTCAGCTAAACCATGTGTCCTTTTCCCTATGAACACATTTTAAACTCCTTAATCTGCTTCATTCCATAAACTCAGCGCTAACCAATAAGAATGCCAGGGCCTCTCCTCTCTTGTGGCATTGTGAAAGTGTAGAAGTGGTGCTGTTCATTACTGACCCTTTATTCCATCCTGCAATATAAAAAGATATTGATTCTCTCTGCAATAAAAAATGTAGGCATCTGTCTTGCAACAGCAGTTAAAATAATCTGCAGTTAACCAGCTAGACAAATTGTATTGGAATCAATCCAACCCCCCCACACACTCTTACCCTTTACACTACTTTTTTAGGTTGCCCATCCATGATACTTTTCTGTAATGGTCTATATTATTCAAATAAAGAGGGTGCAAGAAGGTTCCTGCTTTGACTACCACTGCATACACGTACACTAAATAATTTCTCCAGAAAACATAGCTAGCGGTGAAAGCTACACGCCTTTACCACTAAGTAATGTAAATCCCTGATGCAGCAAACCAAGATGGCTATTTTAAAAGCAGATTATAACGTTCATTGCACTGGTTTCTAGAACATTCATCTCTGTAGACCAGATTGTTTCATTCCCTGCTCATGATTTCTGTTATATCATTCACCTTTCTAATCATTATAATACAGAGAAAAGCAAATGTGTGGAAGGAAAACGAATACATTTTCACAATTTTGATTTGTTTCAGTGAATATGGAGTATAATTAAGACTAGAAGGTCAGCCATTCCTGGGAGCAGTTGGGGTTAAATCACGCTGTCAGTCACAGGGTTTTAACCACCAACTTTCTGATCACGGCATCCAAACCCAAAGGGCTGTACACCAAGCAGACTGAAACTAACAGGCCCGAGAGCAGTCTTCCATCAAGCAGTGGGTCATCAAGCAATCTGCAATTCATCTCTCTCTTTAGTATTCAGTAGTCTGCTGAAGTCCATTACTGAGCAGAAGCTCTGCCTGTGGTCTGCAATATCCGTGGCATGAACTTAGCAGATTTCCACCCCAGATACAGGGCAGTTGCCTATGTGGAGGGGGAGGGGCATCAGTCCAGGTGCTGATAGGTGGCTGATGAGAGAGCCAAACAGACTAGATAGCAGCATGATCATTTGCTATGGTGGCATTATTTATTGTAGTAATGGGTCTTAAATACTGTGATTCTTGGGTCATCCCTCAAATACATCAGCAATAATATTAAGTGAATAACATTGACTATCTCATTACAATGGCACCCGTCACTGGTGCCATTACATATTAGGCAAGTGAACAGTCAGTTCTTGAAGTTGATGTGTTGGAAGTAGGAAATATGGGCAAGCATAAGGATCTGAGTGACTTTGACACAGACCAAATTATGATGGCTAGGAAACGGCAGGTATTATGGGGTGTTCCTGGTATGCAGTGGTCAGTACCTACTAAAAGTGGTCTAAGGAAGGCCACTTGGTGAACTGGCGATGACATCATTGGCGTCCAAGACTCAATGATGCACAGGGGGAGGGAAGGCTAGTCTGTCTGGACCGATCCCACAGGAGAGCTACTGTAAAACAAATTGCTAAAAAAGTGAATGCTGGCTATGACAGAAAGGTGTCAGAACACAGTCCATCGCAGCTCACTGCATATGGGACTGTGTAGCCACAGAGCAGTCAGAGTGCCTATGCTGACCCCTGTCCACCAGCCCACCTACAATGGGCATGTGAGTGTCAGAACTGGACCATGGAGCAATGGAAGAAGGTGGCCTGGTCTGATGAGTCATGTTTTCTGTTACATTATGTGGACAGCTGGGTGCATATGTATTGCTGGGGAAGAGATGGCACCAAGATGCACTATAGGAAGAAGGCAAGCCAGTGGAGGCAGTGTGATGCCTAGGGCAATATTCTGCTGGGAAACCTTGGGTCCTGGCTTTCATGTGGATGTTACTTTGACATGTACCACCTACCTAAACGTTGTTGCAGATCAAGTTACACTCCTTCATAGCAACGGTATTCCCCGATGGCAGTGGCCTCATTCAGCAGGATTTTGCACCCTGCCACACTGCAAAAATGGTTCAAGAATGGTTTGAGGAACATGAAAAAAGGTGGTTTTAATGTTACAGCTGATTGCTATATGCAGGAATGATGTGTGTCATTGGTTTTACATGTTCAGTCTGACAAGCAGACAGACTGACCATGTAATCAGACGTCATGGAGAGGCATTAAAAGAGATGCAACATGGTTGCATTTACTCCTTCAAGTCTGCTACTGCATTTTCGACCTATGTAAATCACGTTTGCGCAAGTACCACAAGCACTGCTACAGGAAATGTTTTTATAGCTTTCCCCAGTTTTGTACCTCCTTATTTTCTTATGCTCAGCTGCTTAGAGAACCATGGTTGTTGAGTGTTCGTGCAGTGTCCAGAGAAGTTGGTAGGGTCAAAGAATTTAAGCACTGGAACTGCAGGGATTCTCTTCTTATCGTTTGACCAGTTCTATACTCTCCACTCTATGGTGTCCTGGTGCCAAGTGCACATATGAATACCCTTATGATTGAACATGGTGTTCATTATGGACAATCCGTGACGAGCACAGAAGTCCAATAACAAAACATCACTCAGGTTCAGATTGGGGGGAGCGTTCCTCCCAATCACGCCACTCCAGGTCTCACTGTCATTGCCCACGTGAGCACTGAAGTCCCCCAGCAGAACAAGAGAGTCCTCAGGAGGAGTGCTCTCCAACACCCCTTCCAAGGACTCCAAAAAGGGTGGGTATACTGAACTGCTGCTTGGTGCATAAGAGCAAACAACAGTCAGGACCCGTCCCCCCACCCGAAGGCGAAGGGAGGCTACTCTCTCGTCCACTGCGGTAAACCCCAATGTAAAAGGCGCCCAGCCTGGGGGCAATATGTATGCCCACCCCAGCTCGGCGCCTCTCCCTGTGAGCAACTCCAGAGTGGAAGAGGGTCCAACCCCCTTTGAGGAGACTGGTTCCAGAGCCCAAGCCGCGTATCGAGGTGAGCCCAACTACATCTAGTCGGAACCTCGCAGCCTCGCGCACCAGCTCAGGCTCCTTCCCCATCAGAGAGGTGACATTCCATGTCCCAAGAGCTAGCTTCTGTAGCCGAGGATTGGACCGCCAAGGTTCCCGCCTTCGGCCACTGCCCAACTCACACCGCACCCAACCCCTATGGCCCCTCCTACAGGCGGTGAGCTCATTGGGGGGGGGACCCACATGCCTTCTTCAGGCTGTGCCCAACCAGGCCCCATGGGTGCAGACCTGACCACCAGGCGCTCGCCATCGCCATCTTTCTCATCATTAGGGGTCTTGTGAGCTGCACTTCATCTGGTTCCTCACCCAGGACCTGTTTGCCTTGGGTGACCCTACCAGGGGCATAAAGCCCTGGGCAACTTAGCTCCTGGGATCATTGGGACACGCAAACCCCTCCCCCACGATAAGGTGTCGGCTCCAGGAGGGGGTAAAAGACAACCCATCAGACAGTATTGTCAGGAAATACTCCTGACATTAGATTGAAGGACTTTTTGCTTTGATTTTGGATACAAACAGCATTCATTTGGTAACCTTGCTGAAAATGTTTGTGAAGCACAGAATGTACAGTATTTTTGAGTCTGAGGTGTTGATTCAGTTTTTTAAGTTGTACTTTTGTAGTCTTTAGTACTACTGTATACTGTTAAATGTCTAAACACTACATAAGTATGGCTTCAAAATGAACGTGGTGGAGGTGTTTATGTGCCTCTGTGATCCTAGGAGCTATGGTGTTGAGGGTGATTGGCCTTGGTAGGGTCTCCCATGGCAAATTGGTCCTAGGTGAGCAGCTAATCCCCTTCAGTTCGGAGCAACTCCTAAAGCGCTTCATGGGCCTGTACTACAAAGCGGGGTTACTGGCTTATCGGGGTAAATTGTATGAATTACGGTAGTCTGGGCAAAATCTAAAGAACGAATATGAAGTCCATTTAAACGGTGGTACCTTAAATCTGACAACTAACCCTGATAAGCCAGTAACTCCGCTTCATAGTACAGGCCACAGGTGTGACACAACAGTGCCAGCCAACACTGCTACCCCATACTGCCTTGTAAAATACTGTAGCGCTGGCGAGTTGCCTCTCGCTAGTTGAGGTAATTTACATGTTCCCAGTGCATTTTGGATGTCTGTTGTAAATAGCCCCTGTACGCTGTCACTGTTAATTTCTGTGCCATATTCTGTGTGTCGCGTGTTCCCCCACTTGGAATGTCATGTGTAGTGACTAGTGTTTGTAATGTTAGCGTAGTGACTAGTGTACCCACTGTGTGTGAGAACTATCATGTGTCATGGGACCTCCATGTGTTTCCAACTGTTGAAAGCAGAAGGTGTGGGTTGTTGGGCTGATCTATTGTGAGTCCATTTAAGGTTATCAATAAAGGAGCTTCCTGTGTGTGAAATGGCTGCCTTGTTTCTTGCCTGACTCTCCAGGGCCTGGGTCTGCAGGGCATCACAATACTTGTGTGGAATATTTAATGTGTACTGTATACCTAATTTGAGATCCATTTAAGGGCATTTGGGCTTTGCACAATATACTTTACATTATAGAGTCAAATAGGTTGTAACTCCAGTGATGTACTGACATCTTCCAGGTAGCTCACTAAGTAGTTTAGTCTTGGCTATGCACCATTAAAAGCCATTACATGCGCAAACACACAGCATTTCAGACTTGCTCTTTGAATAATTTTTAATTTAATTTAATTTAATTGTTTATTGGATTTTGAGTACCTAGGTTTTAGACTGTTAGAAAATGAGTATTGATTCAATATAGCCTCAGTAGATTAACAAGAAAAAAACAGATACATCTACACACAGTAATTTGAAAAATGGAATTACTTAATAAAAAAAAAGAACTTCATATTGCCATACAAAAGCGCTCTAAGGCACATCCTTTACAAATAAGTCTGGCTTCATGTCAAAGTTAAGCTGAGGCGTGCGTGAGCATCCGCCTTTGCCAGAGAAGGAAGCGAACTTTGAGGAACACACGTAAGTTTTTAGCTGGTCGAAGCTGGAGGGAAGTCGGAGAAATCAAATGTGGAACGTCATAAAATATACATCAAATACAGAAAACTGTAGATTTAATACATTTGTTAGTGTTATATTTTAATTCGATTATATAAAGAGAATGAAAAAAAAATCACGCTCTCGTACGTATGGGTCCGATGGAACGAAGCGGTTACTGACGCCTAAAAATCAAACGGTAAGTAGCCTACATATTCCATTTTGATAATCTATTCGCCAGTATACTTTTATCATGGTTACATACGGGAAATTGAAAAGGAAAAAGGAAACAGTGTATATTATATATAATTATATATATAGCTTTTCGGTTGCAAAGCATACTTAATTTAGTTTTATAACCGTACCAAAGGAAAAGGGAAATCCGTAACTATTATGCGATAGTGAGACAAAACGTTTTTATCATAAAGGCAGCACAAATTCAGCATAGAATTTAGCCTCACTTCACCTTTTTATGTAAAATAACGGAATCAGGCATCGCGACCTCTTTTTAAAGTAAATAATCAATTAATTTTCAATGCGATTAAACTGCAAATGTGACTTTTTATATTTCCGAATCAAACTTATAATCTTAAACACTGCACTGACATGTTTTACACTTTGCTAAAATATTTTGCATGCATATAATATTTTTATGATTGTGTGTTTTCAATTATGATCCTGGATGAATACTATCTACCACGAATTCTTTTATTGGATGGAAATTCTACGATTTCATTTTACAAGTCATTACATTTTACAGAATATTACATTGAAACTAAGTCATAGTCAAAATATTACTATTGAACAAAAATAAAAATTAATAACATGGGTGTTTTTTTTTAGGTGTTGGCACTAACAACCAGTAAAGACTAAGCTCTTCAGTACGGAATAAGGACGTTTACTCAGCACTGTGCCCCTATAATTTTATGCATAAAGCTCACAAATCCAAATCGGCTCGTGTTAAACAAGTGGAAAAGGGATTGTTAGAGCTCTTACGGACTGTTACAGTGTTAAGGATCTGCTGTACCTCAGGGAAGTGATTTCCAATCCTAGACTGCCCTCTGCAGGATGGAGAAAAACCTAATTATTATTCACTACAACTACACCGGGAGGTTATTCAACCTCAGTGAAAGCGCGACTGGTGCCACAATCGCTGAGAAAGCGATCTTTCTATTCATATGCAGCTTCATAGTCCTGGAGAACTTGATAGTACTAGTGGCAATATGGAAAAACCACAAGTTCCACAACCGCATGTTCTTCTTCATTGCTAATCTGGCGCTTTGTGATCTGATGGCTGGAGTGACCTACGCAGTAAACTTGCTGACGTCAGGGGGGATGACCTTCCGTCTTTCCCCATACGCATTCTTTGTGCGGGAGGGAAGTGTCTTTGCGGCACTTTCCGCATCTGTCTTCAGTCTGTTGGCAATTGCAATTGAGAGGTACATGACAATGATTAAAATGACACCTTACAATGCCAATAAAAGATACAGAGTGTATCTCTTAATTGGGACATGTTGGCTGATTGCAATTTCTTTGGGATCCCTGCCTCTGCTTGGCTGGAACTGTCTGGACAATCTTCCTGACTGCTCAACTATCTTACCTCTTTACAGCAAGAAATATGTGGCTTTTTGCATTATCATTTTTATGATTTTGTTGCTGTCCATCTCTGTACTATACGCTCGTATATATGCCCTGGTCAGATCTAGCAGCCGCAAAGTCACCAAGCACAGTAACTCAGAGCACTCCATTAGCCTCCTGAGGACAGTCATCATCGTTGTCGGCATCTTCATCATCTGCTGGATGCCTCTTTACATCCTGCTGCTAATCGACGTGGCCTGTGAACACAAGCAGTGCCAAATCCTTTTCAGCGCTTCCTGGTTCATCATCATGGCCGCCCTCAATTCTGCCATGAATCCCATCATCTACATGCTATCCAGCAGGGAGATGCGGCAGACGTTCCTCAGCCTGATCTGCAGTTGTCTACTTGGGACTAAGACAGGAAGTGTCCTAAAAGTAGAGCAAACCTCAGAGAACAGCAAGAGCAAGTCCAGCAGCAGCAGCAGTAGCAGCCATGCCCAAAAGGCCGTGGTCAAAGAATCTCTTGATGTTGAAAGTACTGTGGAATAGTCCATAGCCTACAGCTGCAAAAACTGGACAGCTGGATATCCAATATTCTTTATTAGTTTGAATTCTGGAATGGACAGAATAGTCAGATGCTTTCCTGGTGAAACATATACATCAATTGAGACCTGATTAGAATACTTTAGAAAGAATGGAAATTCAGAATAAACTGCCTATAAATGTGATGAATACTGAAATTTAATAATTTTGAAAACTATTACATTTCTTTAACAATACTGTATAATTTATGTATCTATTATTGTCATAAAAATTGAAATGTAAATATGTTCAGTTAGCAGTAAAATTGACCTGCATATTTAATATTTCACAGTGTAAAACAAAGCAGCATGAATTATTGTACCATGTAAACTATTGTATTCATTGTTCTTTACATCTCTCTGAACTATGCATATCAGCTTGTCCCTTATACATGTCAAAAACTAAATTTTGGAAAACTAAAAATGATACCCCACCACAAGAAAAACATACAAAAGCCTTTCTCTAACAGATGAATGAGTTCCATTTACTTATTTAATATTAATACCGGAAGTCATGTCACAACTGCATTGCAAAGCAGACATCTTTGTATGCGAGCATGTTAGGACAGCACATTAAAACAAATTTTAACAAAATTGCAAAAACTTCACTTTGTTTGAGCATACCCTAAATGCAGTCTAAATGATGTGAAATTTTGCACGAAGTACTTGAATGAAGGGATGAGTTCTGAAACTTTCAAAAGTCGAAAAATAAGGGACACCCTAATGCGTATAGATCAGAAATGATGTCAATATAAAAGGAGATTGCTATATCCTTATTAATATTTTCATGTAATACACTTTTGCTCTATAACAACATTAATAATTTAGATTTTTAGAACATTTAAACTGGGGCGGCACAGTGGTGCGCACTGTCGCCTGACAGCTCTGGGACCCGGGTTTGAGTCTCCGCCAGGGTTGCATGTGTGTGGAGTTTGCATGTTGTCGTCGTCGTGGGGTTTCTTCCAGTTTCCCCCCCACAGTCCACAAACATGCTGGCTAATTGGAGTTACCAGGTTTCCTGAGTGTGCCCCGTGTGGAGCTGGCACCCCATCCTGGGTTGTTCCCTGCATTGCACCCATCGGCTGCAGATGCCCCACAACCCTCAATAGGATAAGTGGCTACAGAAAATGGAAGGAGGGAACATTTAGATTTAAATTCCAAATTAAATAAAACCAATCAAGTGAAACTATAAATTTCCTGATTGTAAAACAAATCTAATAAAATGTATTATCATCGCTGGTGGTTCTATTAGGAGACTTCAGTGTTCGCATGGAAACATTGGAGATGCCTGGAGGACAATAAGCCATAGCGATGATCTCCTGGATCTAAGAGAACCTGTTCATGAATGGTAAGAAGAAACATGGCAGGTGGATAAGTTTTGGTTACTGCAATTTTGCAGGAACTGAGGAAATTTATGCTGATAAAGTGGGAAGTTAATCTATGTTCCTGTCCTGACCTATGGTCACAAAAAACGCATGTCAAAAAGAAGGACCCAAAACGACAGCAAAGGCATGTCTCAGCTACATATTTTCCCAAATATTTTCATAGTATATTTCATTATATTGAATTTAAAATAGAATTTTTTGCTTCAGTAATACTCAGTTAAGTCAAGCTACCTTCTGGTGAATTTTGCATAGATTCTTTTCTATGCTTAATAACAAAGTAAGAAACCAATATATCTGGATGACATTGTCATTTTAAACAATTTAATTTCTAATTAAAAATAAAAGCCTTTAAATTATTTTTCTTATTGTGTTTGTTTATTGTTTGGGTGTCTTTTGAAATCAGAATGGCAGTTCTCAGATTTTTTTTTTACCACATTGTGAAATGAATGTGTTACAAGCCATTCTGATGAGCACATGACAGAAAGGACGTAATAAATGTATTAAATAAGTTTCCACTTATGGAAGTTTTCTGCAGTAGTGTATGTATACCTCATAAATTCAATTTAATTGTATTTTAAATATACAAAACATCCTTTGTATTCTGTCATTTTTCATAATCACAAATAAAAGTTGTACAGATGATTAGGAATATTTAATTAAACATAAATGTTGTGACGTGAAAAATTTAACTTGACTTTAAATATACTTAAGATTCTTGGTAACACTTTACTTAAAGCCATGTTTTTAGCAATTTATAAACAAATTCATAGCATGCATTCATAAAGTATTATAAACATGGCTATAAATATTTATCAAAATGCATACCATATTATAGCCATGTATATTATGCATTATGACTACTTTATTAAGCTCTCATCTATAATGCACTGTCGACACCTTTATCATGCATTATAACGGTCAGTATAAGCATTAAGGATGCTTTGTACTGCATTATAAAGGTATCTATAGTGCATTATAGATTCATAAGGCAGTCATGTGTTATGCCTTTTTATAAATATAATATTCACAGCCATGTTTATAATATCTTATGAATGCATTATGAATGTGTTCATAAATTACTAAAAACAAGGCCTTGAGTAAAGTGTTACCAGATTCTCCATAATAAATAGTATGTATCATCACTACAATGTGCATGGTAATTTAAAATATTTTTAGCAGCATAACTGATGAGCATGAAAATTCACTTGATGAACTTCTATGCCTGGTCAAATTTTAAAATGGGTTACTAATGCACCTACTAGGATTATTAATTTATTTCTTTCCAAATAAATTCAGTGATTTACCTAATCAAGATATTCTGGAACTAACACAAAAAATGCATGCAAGACTATGTACCTGGTAATTAAATAAACTGTACTTAAAATTCCCCACAGTGGAAAGTGTAATTTTCTAGGAGGATACAAAAGAATTATTAATTTTAGTACTAGTGGGATAAAGAAACTGGAATTTTTACTGGACATTTACTCTACCTAAGGCACCTTCCCTTTTTGTCTTCCAATTTGTTTAATAGTTGTTACTTTCAGTGTAAGAGTGAGGACTTGCACAACAGAAAAAATGGACACATTACAAATAATTCTAATTAACATTCTGTTCCGTCTTGCAGTACCTGTCTGCTAATTCTGCATGCCATGATAAACAAATTTAAATCAATAAATGTGCCCAAACAAAAGTGTATCACAGCAAAGACAATAATTTTTGTCACAAGTTAATAACTGATACAGTATTTCAAAGTGTGAATGAACTTTTCTTTAATGTGAAAAATATTACTGTCTATAACTTGCCAAAAACAAAACAAGGTTATTGTTTCACTCACTGTACACCAAAGGACATTTAACCTGTTTCAGTTAAAAGGATGCATAAAAATAAAATATTTCAATACTTAAATATATGTGTCTGAAGTCAGAATAAAAGTTGAATTTTTATTTTTTTGTACTTTTTTTAGAATACAAAAAAAGACCCCAAAAGCTTGCCACAACAACTACCACATACTCCTATCTAGGGTAATACTTAGCAGTAAGACCCAGATGGACAACGAAGGGGCAGACAAATAACTCCGAAGTTTAAAGTGTTTTGTTATGCATACAACTTACTCACTGTAACAATGTCAAAGGCATAAAATATACTGTGGTTTTGATGGAATAAGAGCAAGTTGTACAAAAGTTAGTACAATGCAAAATATTTTCAACTATGATGTGTATTAAATAGCTCCTAGTTTGTTTTACATTTTGTTTAAATTACCCAAACCTTTTATTAATATTTATTCCAAATCTAATACTGCCCCTAACCCCAAACATTAAGTTATGAAACAAAGTGTATTGCATAGCAGCACTACTGGATACTTAAACAGGAATCTTTTCTAGTTGTCCAAACTATGACCTTATATATGTTAAACTTTATTTAGGAGCCTAGAAACCCAAGTTTTCCCCAAGATACAAGTGACTGATAGACCGTGGTTCTCAATAATGCCGTTCATGTGCGCATTTTAAAAAGAGTGAATTGATATTGCATTTCCTTTTAAGGGGTACATATATTAAAATTATGCAAACAATTATGTAAAAATACATTACTAAATATAGACCATTTTTTGGTCTTTTTTTACAGTAAACACATATTATGCTTTGATTGTGCTGTTTATTTGTGAATATTTGTGAAATAATACATTTCCTGTTCTAAGCTCACAATTCATGAGATCAATATTTGCAACATTAATTCAGCCCTGACCTAATTTACTACACATCCTTTCAAATTTATAGGAATTAAAACCAAATAACAAGATCGTTTAAAGCAAATGTATTACATTATGAGCATACGCAAGCACCTGTCAAAGGGTTAAAGGTCTACAAACAATGACCACAAAAACAGTTTAATTTCTAGTCATGCGACTGCAGTGACAATTTAGTGTACTTAATAGAAAAAATTGCAGCTTTTTAAAAATCACATCCACAGCATTGGGGGCATACGATTTTATCCCAAACTTCTGTGGCTACTGAAGAGCAAGCAGTTACACTTTCCTCTTTTAAAGCAGATCCACCAGTGATTTGATAGAATGTTACCAAATTAACTGTTACACTAGCTTCAAAAGAAGATAATTTCAAAAATACTGCAATACTATCTGCTTTTTCTCTGTTTTCTCTGACTCTTACCAACAACTGTGTAAATCTGTTTGTGCTTAATAGACAAAACTAGAACATTAGGTTACTCTAAAATACTCTTTGCCTCCTTGAGGATAATTTTCAGTTCATCTAAACAATTAGCAGTAGTTTTTTTGTTTTTTCTTTAAAGACGCCAGATCAATATCTATTCATCAACCTCTTCTCAAAAATATAGAATTTCAATAATCACAACAAAAAAATAACAGTTCTATAAATCAAGTGTCAGTTGAAACAAATCTCTCCAAGTCTGCCAGAGCAGCCAAAAGGTGCGCAGAGAAGTTCAATGATGCTTTCATCTTTAGTAATCTTTGACCATAACATAATCTGTCATCTTCAAGTTTTTTAGGTGTGCAAGCGGTAAAAATGCCTCCCTCGTCCCAGCAATTCTCAAATGGAGCACGTCACTGTTTTCTTGCTACAGGCTGTTTGAGACAGAGTTCACTTCCAGCAGAAACTATGGGCAGGCCATTCTCACGGTGATGTGTGATTAGGTGGCTGATGCTGTCGAAGATGTGATCTTTTGTCCGTACCTTTAAGGGAGAGAAGAAGAAATTAAGGAATTAGAAGATTATTTTGAGGTGTCATTACCACCTACTAAGGATTTTTTCCTATTTGATGTTATTTTTAAAAGGTATTATAATTGTTTTGACCATATTAGGGCTGGAGATTTTCAATGGTTCAAAAAGTAGCTCTAGGGTGGCACTGAGTATCAGTGAGTAGCACTGCTGCCTCACACTTTCAGGGTTTGAAGGTCTAATCCTGTGTGTCTGCAGTTTACATGCTTAGGGTGTTGCATGCGTTTCCTCACAGAATCTGAAATCATCACCCGTTATCAGTAATAGGAGAGTAAAGCATCAATGCATCATGATGAATCGATTATTATGGTGGGGATTCCGCTGCATCAATTTGTAATGCCAGAATCGATTAAAGATAATTATATTCCTATTTTGAGGTTGCGCGCTGTTGCATTCACGTGCTGCAGGTAAACACGCAAAGTAGTAGTGCTGGCACACAAATTTTTTAAATGTAGGATGTCGGGGGAAAGATTATTAAAGCAGGAGTTCCTCGCTTTAAGATGATTCAACTTTACTGTGGTGTGATTGTGATGCACATTCAGAAGTCACCAAAATTTTTTATCTGTTCCTGGGTAGAAATATGCCGTGAAAATACTTTCTGCTGATGGTCACATCCATCCAGCACTGTAATGATCACAAGTGTAAATATCACATACAGGGGTCTATTCTCCCATCAAGTGCTTAAGTCAAAAAGCACGTTTGAGTTACATGTATGCATGGAAGTAGACTACTACACTATATTTGGTCATTCTCACAAACATGAGAATCCTTCCACAAAAACTAAATGTTAGTGAAATACGGTGTTTGAATTTTGTGCAGAGCAATTCATATTACCTTATTAGTTATATTAAAATGTAATTTATAGTTTTATATATATATATATATATATATATATATATATATATATATATATATATATATATATATATATATATATATATATAAAAAACTATAAATGTATGGATAAATGTATGGATAAATGTATATATATATAGGACCACTATTGCTCCTAATTTACATTAATGATATTGACACCAATACA